TTCCCCCTTTTAATTATTGTTAATGAAGTCTGTATATTGTATTTATTGTATATATTTTTGTTATGTTACTGTACAAACTTGAAAATCATTGCAATAGTACTGAGAGTGCCTACATTACTGTATAAAAAAGAAAGAATAAATAAATAGATTACTGTACATAGACAGACAGACAGACAGACAGACAGACACATATACAGACCGACACACAGACAGACAGACAGACAGACAGACAGACAGACAGACAGACAGACAGACAGACAGACAGATAGATAGATAAATGATAATGTGATAATAGTGAAGTACATGATGATGATGTTATGATGATGAATGCCATGGAGATGATGACATCGGATGACAGAACTTTACCAAGTGTCCAATCCAGAGGTTTTGCACTGTAGTTGAAAGGTTTAGTTGGACCAGTCCCTGGATACAATGGGGATAGAGTTCTGGCTGATACTGACGTTAGCTTTGTTAGGCTCCTTGCTCCCTCTACTTTTGCACCTGAAGTACAAATATGTATTCATGCATAAGCTCAAACAATCTCCTTAATTTGATTTGAAACTAAATAGCCATCAAATGTTTGATAAATTAACAACCAACCAATAAACCAATTAATCTAACAATTACATATGACTCAAGAGCAACTAGTGTTCTCCTAAAGTTGAATTTAAGTAAACAGCTTCCTAACTGGAGTTAAAATTATATAAATGAGTAAAATTCAATTTTAAATTTGACAGGCTTGTAACCAAACCAAACTTCAACCCAAACCCTCTTCTCGGTGCTATGCTGCGCACAATGCTTGGTGCTAAGTGACCAGAACCAGTACCAGAATAAACTTTCTTTGGAAGAACACCGTAAACGTTTTGTTATATTACAAAATTTAGGTAGGATAATAAGTATTGTATTCTTATTTACATACATATTTTTCAGCTGTTGAAGAATACAACTATTAAGTATTGCTGATTGAAAAGCACAGCCTCATAAATACTGGTCAACTAATGTAATACACATGAATTGCAAAGGTCATGCAAAGCCCATCATAAAAGTTGATCAAACCACACTAGAAAGATGGTTTTTTTACCCTTTAGTGGTGCCAATGGCTTCTTCTGTAGATTTGTCACTCCATCTTCAACTTTAGTATCTCTATCAGGATTATTTGCCTCCACCACCTCCTCTAGCTTGTCTATCATTTTCTTCTTCTCTTCTGTTGGTGCCTCTGCATTATGAGCTTTTTCCTGTGCCACATTGCCATCCAGAAAAGATGTCTTTGTTATAGGTAGAGATTGTTCCATAGTTTGTTTAGGACCTTCTTTTAGTTGAACCTAAAATAAACAAATAAACAAGCAACATGGCAGTGTCCATCAATTTAAATAGCCTACTGTCGATAAAATGATGAGCAAAAATATGATATAAAATTATCCAAATAAAAATAATATTGAGCTATAATTTATAATTTAGTGTGGTTGTAGTTTAATGGTAAAAGTTTTCTTTCAAGCCCATGAAGATGTATGCCTTGATTGTTTAACAAGTTTAAAACACAACCAACACCACCACCCACGCCCCCATAATTATGACACATAGTAATAAAGCATAGCCTACCGTATATTCTTGCGTATAAGGTGATCCATGTAAAGACAATCCCCAAATTTGAGAAGAATTTTGGATGATTTTTCAACCCTCTGTTGAAAACGTTTGAATGCTTACTTTTGCTGCTCTTTATGGTTTCAATACTGCATCTTTGGCTAAAAACGGAGCCACATGTAGGGCTAGTCCTCCAAATGATACCATCTTTAATTTACGGGTTATTAAATGTTCACCAAACCTTATTTCCCCACATTTAAAATTATGTTCATTCGTACCAGAAGTTAGTAGCTTCAATTCAGTAGTTAATTTGCGTGTTACGGAAGATCTGGCCGCACATTTAAAAATCAAAAAATTGTATGTGCTGCGTGTGTAAGACAACCCCCTTTTTCAATCGTATTTTGCTATATTAAGTCAACTGTCTTATACATGAGAATATACGGTAATAACATTCAGTAAGTAGGTAATATACTTCCTGTTAGAATTCAATGGAATAGTAGTTAAAAAAAATATAAAGATTACTGTACTTTTTTATTTTGAAGTATTCCACTTTCTTCAAGGGGTGTTCCTGCTGCATTTCTGTTCTTTTCTAATTGCTTCTGCCTTGCGAGAATATGTTGTTGGAAGTGTATTTGCGGTAGCACCTTCTCTAGTAATGTATGCACCCTATTCTTATCATAAATATCACTGAAAAAAATTAGAAAATGATAAAATTTCTAGAAAATAAATGAGGATGAAAGTATAAAATGATCATATAGGAATGATTTCCACCTAACACAATGTGTTATTACAATGAATACTCATTAAATCCTCAAATACTGCAAGTGATTTGGGTGTGAATCCAGGAGTAACAGGTTGGGAGAAGCTACTTCTGGATGATCTGCTTCAATGCGGCTTTAACACATCTAATTCTATTTTGCTGTGCATTGATACCCATTGCCAGCTGAGTTCAGGCAACGGACGATACAGTAGTATAAAACATAATATCATTAATTTGCAGGAGATGGGTTGGTATCGGGGAAACTTTTGCTTACCTGTAAGAGTGCAGGAGGCTATCATAGCTTCAAAGAGACACCTGCAGGAAACTTGGGACCCCTCAGAATCAAACCAACAACCTCTAGAGTTTATAGCCTGGTATTATAACACTAAACAACCAAAAGCTTATGATATACTGTATAAATGATGTTAAAAAAAAAAGACATTTTGTCTTTACTGTACCTATTGTTAGCATGTTCAATCACCTGAAGAAGCACTTCCCTTGGAAGACTTAACAGCTGTGAGATTCTGATGAAAAAAAATTAACAGAAGAATATTATATCATGCAATTAAAAAACACAAGAATATCTTTTTTTATGGTCCAATTTTCTGCGGCCGATTGGGGGCGCTGGGGTATTCGTCTGTCTGACCAGGGCTTAATACCCCTGTTCCCCATTACTTCGGAGAACACAACCACACTTTTCCCAAATGTAGATGTATACAGTACCTTCCACTATTAAATACAGTAATAATAAAAATAGTTGTAAAAATATGTGCATAATTCATAATCGTTCAATTGAAGTGTAATATGTATTATCAAACAAATGGAAGACCAAGAAAACACAAGGGGTAAAAACAATATTAATCATTATAAACATTGAATACATAAATAATGGCAGGACTGAAAATAGGTTAGGCAGGTTCGGAGTATTAGTGGTGTGAGTATAACTTAAAGGGCTGAACTAACGAAACTACTGGAACCTGGCCTATACTCCTACAGTGCTGATGCTGCTATTGAGGTGGATAAAACAAAATCTGTCTTTATAATTATTAGTTTTTAATGCGAGGAGCAAAGGCAAACAGTGCAATGTGCTATCTAAATAGAACACCTAATTATAATATCTATGCTTACTCATCCTCCCGTGGAGACTTAACATAGGACCTTGGTACCTGACCTCTCGAGGGATGTGTGTATGGGCGTCCACCTGTAGGAGTTCTGTATGAAGCATGTTTTTTCTGAGGAAAATTAAAGACATACATTACAGTTTATATTGAAAACATATTTCTCTCAATGCTGCTACTATGACCAATATACTGCAAAATTATTTATTACTTACTGTTTTTTGTTTTTTATCTCGTGTCTTCATACTAGATGGAAGCATATCCTCTGTAACATCTTTGATGTGTACATGATCTGGATGGCTTGAGCTTAAACAACCAGTGCTAATGGAAAATTAAAAGTAGTTAAATATTTATTAAACTTAATTAAACAAAAAAAGTGTTGCACCATTTTGTATAAATAAGCTACGGCTGTTCCATTCTAATGTAAGATAAGCTGTGTTTCTTATTTTCAGACTAAAGCTAAATTTCCACTAAACACGATAACGACACGACAATGACACGTTGATATGTCATTGTCGTGTCGTGTGTAAATGCAGTTTTAGGTATTTAAGCAAATCAATATTAGAATGGCTATGTATAAAGTTTATAATTATAGATTGATCAACGATGTTAAAAATTCATCTTCTGCATTTATAAATAAAACATTCTGCTTGCAACTGAATGATATTTCAAGAGAGTATGACAGCATTAGTAATTCAAAGGGCTTTTCAAAAGGTCTAAAAACTTATCCAAAACAATAATGCAATGAAGTCTACTAGATGTTCATCTGTACTGTAATGCTATTTGTACCATTTTTATCTTTATCAGGTAATTAAAAATGTTTTCTTATTTTATTATTCAGCTGCAACCATTAGTTTTTAGGGTGTTCCTTATTATATTCACCTTTGTATAAACTTGGTATCCATTTGCCCTTTTCTCTTGGATGGATCGTTTCTCGAGCACCATAAATAGAAGTGAGAACCTACAAAATTGTCGCTCCAGTCTTCTGGCCAATCAACAATCTCATGCACCTCGATTTTCTTGAGGGGAGGTGGCTTGAGTGGTTGTTTTTTACCCTTGCTAAAAGATGCAGACAGATTTACAGCAGGGGAAACAGTTGGTGTTAATGGAGACTTTACTGGGGTTGTACCACTGTAGAATGAATAAAACAAATATTACAGTTTTTGTAGACTGTAGTTTAATTAGAAACTTATTTAATTGTGAAGAAGAATATTGTTCAGCCATATTTATTGTGTAGCAGGTTTATCAATCTGTTTAAATGGTCTGACAGCATTTTCTGAGAAAAATAATATTATGGAATTTATAATGAGTTATGCATATGCTTAGTTATTGAGCCTAAGTAATCAGTAAGCTTAGGTTTCAAGTACTGTGCATAATATCTGCCTCTTTTTTGTAATTAAGCTTTTTTGAGGTTAATTTAATTTGAGGCACTATAAACTTATTACTTCTACTTATCAATTTCGATAATTATACATCTGTCCCTTCATCCATTGAGACAACCATTCATCTATAGTACCTATAATGACTCCTGATTTAGGTTACTTATTTGAGCCACAATAGTTAATGCTAATGACAGAAATGAGTTCCACCTGTTTCAATATTTATATTATAGTTATAGTAAAAACCTTTAAAGGGAATTATTTTAACTATATGAAAATACCAACCCGATATAAGAAAAAAAACATGGAAGAGAGCATGGGGTGGAAATTTTCTGAATCTATTTCATAAGAAAATTTGTAATTGTTGCAGTAGATTCATTCACCTTATTTCAATTTCTTCTGAACATAATTAAATCAACCTTTTTTGTTCTGTTTAATATTTTACTTCTGTTTATATTCTTAACATTATTACGAAAACTGGACCATTTTGAAAAACAGTACTGTGCTACTGAAAATGGTATCCAGTCGAAAGAAAGAATAAATAAATAAAATAAATAATTAAAAGCCATGTACAGTACAAAATTAGTTTGTGGGGTGTCCTTGCTGTGTGTGATTGTATGCTATTGTCATTTGTTATTTTCCTTTCATGATGTTTGATGGTTGGAGATGCTAATTCATGTATAGGAACCATGTTCCTACTTGGCCTCATCCTCCACCTGTATTTGAGAAAATAGATTATTATTATTATTATTATTATTATTATTACGTATAATTCATTGTCTACTAAAGCTTACCATGATACATTAGCTAACAAAGGAGCTGATGAACTCCTTCCAGGGTTATGAGCCTCAGGCAAACCACCAAACATATCAACTATCTTCAATGTTGGAAGATCTACAATGCAATAAAATTCATTTCTTATCACAATTGCTACGGCGAAATACATTTGAACTGTCATGAAGGAACATTAGAGCAAACGTCGACCTTTCCACAAAGCTCCACACTAAAATATGCTCCAAATCGACAGCGTAAAGTTAAGGAAACATGTGTGTATTGGTGAGACTTTTTCTATACCTTGTATTAATACCTTGTTTTGCAAATTTTTTTTTAAAGATTGTCAGAGGAGGGCGGACATTTACACTAGACACAATAACGACATCACAACGAATCGTTGATATGTCGTTGTCGTGTTGTTGTGTTGTGTGTAAAGGCAGCTTTAGGTATTTAAGCAATACAATATTAGAATGGCTATGTATAAAGTATAATTATAATTATAGATTAATCAACGATGTTAAAAATTCATCTTCCGCATTTATAAATAAAATATTCTTGTTTGCAACTGAATGATATTTCAAGAGAGTATGACAGCATTAGTAATTCAAAGGGCTTTTCAAAAGGTCTAAAAACTTATCCAAAACAATAATGCAATGAAGTCTACTAGATGTTCATCTGTACTGTAATGCTATTTGTACCATATAAAAAAATTAAATCTTACATTATGAACTATATCCCCAGGAGTAAGTGAAGTTCACATTAGCAGTGGCACCAAATTTAAGAGCATTAATTACTATCAACACCAATTACCCGTGCCATATTTTTCTGTGTTGCCTGACAGGGTATTAGTTTCTCTTACCTTCAGGCTCAAGGGCCAAGGATTTAGTTCATAATGTAAGCTTTAATATGCAATATATTTCTGATATTTTGTTATATTACTTTATACACAATCAATGTTTGTAGTGCTGTGAAACAAGAATATTGTATTATTATTATGTTATATTGCTGAATAAGAAAACAAAATTTTATTTTAATTTTTTCCCCCTCATCTGTCGTCGTTGAATAAGTTCGCAAAACAAGATATAAGTCTTGCCTTATAGTGATCAGGAGTGGAGTAGCATGTAGTAGCTTGGTAGTTAGGATGTTTGCTTTCCAATCCCATCAAGGTCCTTGATTCACTTATTGTCACAGGGTTTTAATTTCTTTTTGTTTCTCTTACCTTTTTTTTACATATTTCCATTTTTTAGTCAATGGTCAAATATTCATATAGCGTCTTCAACAGAAAAACCTGTCAAGGCGCTTTTAAGCCACAAGAAACAATAACAATAATTTGATAAATATAAAATTTTATTTTTATTCGAAATCATCATTATTGGCGGCAGCGGGTTCGCTAAACAGGGTATAATAAAAGGCTCGCCTAAGGCCAACTGTTTCCCTTTGTATTAAAACTCATTAATAAGATGAAACTTACCGTCACTATAAGTCTCTGAGTTTTTTTTTCCTGTGTCAACCAATCTGGGCAGTCCACGCTCCACTCGCCTGTTGGAAGCCCAACATAATGGATGCTGACACAGGGGCCCACATGCTGTTTCATCCAAATGTTTACCCGTTTTTCCGCCTGGCATCTGAATTATATACAAAAAAACATTACGGTGGATTCTAGTACAGTGCTGATAAATTTTGCAATATGTCATTTAAATGTGTGACCGGTAAAATCAATGAATAAATTACATAGGTTTTGTCACTGTATAGAAAGTAACACGTTGCTATGAATCTCACTAAGGTGCATAACACTGCACACCTCTACTTATTAACAATACTTACCATTGTGAATCAGTGCTTATTTTTTAGGTTTTATAATTGAACACTTTATTATTTCTGAGTATCTAATATTGATAATTACATTGTAAATTATAACCATAGTTTGGTATTTCATGTTTTGTCACTGAATGCTGTTGGGCTGCCATACTCTACTTTGTTTTGTTCCTCTTCTCAACATTTAATTTGCTTTGAAGAAATTTCTATAGAGTATTACTGTTGTTATAGCCATTATTGAACACTTTATTATTTCTGAGTATCTAATAATGATAATTACATTGTAAATTATAACCATAGTTTGGTATTTCATGTTTTGTCACTGAATGCTGCTGGGCTGCCATACTCTACTTTGTTTTGTTCCTCTTCTCAACATTTAATTTGCTTTGAAGAAATTTCTATAGAGTATTATTGTTGTTATAGCCATTATTAAACTAAGTATTCTAGGGTTAAGTATTGTTCTTAATTATTGAATTTTGCTTATAACAGGGTTAAACACCAGATAGAAATATATCCTACATGCAAAAATTTGGTCTAGAAATTTGTCTGCGTATTTTGTAAAATAAGAGCTGATTTTCATGCATTACAATTCTGCGTTCCTATTTTCCTAGCGATATTTGAGCAAATTTGAGCAAATTTTTGAGGTATCATCCATGCATTTATTTGAAAATATCATAAACAGAATTCTTCAATTAATTTAAAGGCAAGTTAGAAAGGAATGGGTCAAGTTTATAAATCTATGCCAGATTAGATTGCCGAGACCACTTTGCTGAATCCCAGTTTGCCGAATCCAGTTCACTGAAAGTCAATTAAAAACAGTGACAAATTTAAGTATAGATGGCCAGCCTTGTGACATTGAAGATTTAGATGTCATGAGAAGCCATTCAAAAATACAATGCTATCACTGTGTATTCGTAAAATAAATAGTGGCTTAATATTGACATAGTTTAATGATTCTTTTTATCCTATTATATTAATCAAACTTGATTAACAATTCGACTATCAGCAAACAAATTAATATATGTCCATCAGAAAAAATTTCATCAATAAACATATTTATATAATAAATATAAAGCATATTTATAATAATGTTCAATTAAGACAGTAATATGCATACCTTAAGGAAATAAATATATCAATAATAATCTACATCTATAGACACATTCCATGAGGTTTGTTTACAGCCGGTTTTAAGTGACATATAGTAGGTATTACTATGAAGAATTTACAGTGAGGTCAGTGTTAAAGTACAGTATAGTAAAAGGTAGTTGCATGAGAAACATGAGATTACATTACAACATTAACATGAGAAATTACTGGCAAGGAAAGCTTTACTGCAGAAAATCTCTGAAGCAGCCACAAGTTTTTCTATTACCGAGCGTCATTCGAGCTGCCTGTTTACAACTGATACCCACTATACATCATGTGACCGATCTAGCGAAATGTGTCCATATTATACACATGTGGCAGTGGTGGCCCCAGAAATTTTATGACATGGGGGCCAACATGTCCGACAAGAAGTCCGAATCAAGGTGCTTTGGTCAAGGTCATGGCATAAATATATATATATATAAATAAATATATATATACTATTTATTAATAAATATATATATACTGTATATATATATACTGTATATATACTGTCTCTTATACACATCTAGATGTGTATAAGAGACAGATGTTCATCTGTACTGTAATGCTATTTGTACCATATAAAAAAATTAAATCTTTTTATATATTAAATACGGCTTCTCCCTGATCCACCTATAATTTTTCAAAAGCTGAGTGTGCTGCGCTTTTCTACAAAATTCGGCAAACTTGGTTTCGGAAAACAGGGTTTCAGCAAACTGGGCATTTGCTTTTCAATTTGGTATCACCAATTTTTTTCCCACAGCATTTTTGTTTTCAGTATTTTGCCTTTTTTTTGTTTCGGAAAACAGGGTCAGCAAACTGGGTTCTCATGTTTTTGGGGAACATGGATTCGGCAAACTGGGTTTTGGCAAAATGGCCATAGGCTAGGCCTACATAGTAACATACATATATACTTGGCAAACTGGGTTTTCTAGCTGCATGTAGGTAGAAGAAGAGAGAGGCCTAGGCTAGCCTAGGCCCTGTAGCCTAACTAGGCCTAGTAGTAGTAGTAGTAAATAGTTAGAGAGGCTAGGCCGGCCCAGTAGTAGTAGCAGTAGCAGTAATACTAGGCCTATGTTTAGTAAGGCCTAGCCCTCAACTTTCTAGTAGACCCTCGGTCCCAGTCGTTAGGCTAGGCCTAGCCTAGGCCCTACCTCTAGGCCTAGACATTAGGAGGCCTAGGCCTAGCCTAGGCCCTAGGCGGCTAGGCCCTAGCCTAGATAGTAGGTAGGGGCCTAAATAATGTATGCAATATACAACCAATCAGAAATAATAGGCCTTTTAAAAATATTTATGCAAACCTTGCTCTATGTTGCTAACACCATACTTGATTACAGCATTTTCCTTAAGTTTTTCAGTAAATATCGAAGTAAATAAATACCGTAACTGAACTTCTTCCTGTACTTCCGGTTTACGACGTTATCATCACAGGTTTGAGCGTAGTGCGTAGTCATTAGCAACACATTTTAGTGTTGCCGTGACATTATCAATTTTATCAACCCAATTTATCATTCAACAAGAATTATCTTCTTATGGCGCTTATCAAATAATTTATTCGATATGTTTATATGAATTTGTATATGTGTATAATTGATAAATTAAACAATTAATATGTACAATTAAACTAGTATTTAAGTCTTTTTTTTCAAAAACAATGTAAATGTAATCCAGGGCAGCACCTCCGTAATGAATATTCATCAGTGTTTTCAACTTTGACCACGTATCTAGTTTTTACTTTTTTAACTCATTCATTGCTGAGGCATCAACAAAGGAAGGAGAAGATAGGCCCTAGCCTAGTGGTAAATAATTCTAAAATGTTGTCTTTCAGTTACTAAAGATTATGTGTTGCATACGTGCATGATTGAAAAGAAATGGGAAAACGTCATAGTAAGCAGAAGCGATCGGCTGTATATGAGTAAGTATAATTTTATTTGTTGAGAATTTTTAGGCTTGGCTAGGCTAGAGCCTAAAGCTATCTATACTACTAGCTGCTTAGCTAGGCCTAGGGCCTACCTAGGACAGGTTCATCCAGGCTCCAGCTAAACCTTTCTCTAAGGAGGTAGTAGTAGTAGTAGTAGTAGTAGTAGCAAGGAGGTATAAAACAAATTTTATACATCCTTGGTAGTCTAGTAGTAGTAGTAGTAGTAGCCTAGTTCTAGCTAGTCTACACACCTCCCTAGCTACAGCCGGAGGCTAGACCTGAGCCTGTGCTACATTATTGGTTGGACGCTGGTGAGACTACTGACTGGAGTACAAATTGTACGTCCTCTCCATCATTGAATTGGCAATAACAATAACACTAAGCACTCACAACATTTTGGACATCATGCAACCAAAATTTCCCATTTGCAGACAAAAACAAAAGTTCTTAATTATTAGATATGTGAAAAAAAATTTTTAAATGCAAGGAATTCCTTTGCAGCTAGTGCCATTTGAAAGAGCATAAATGTAGCATTACATTGATACCAAGATCATTGTCCTCTGTCAAATATCAACAAAGTTACAGAATTTAGAATATTATTAATTATGCCTAATTTCGATCCTTCAAAACCAATGTAAACAGTAGAAGTGTATGTGACCTTTTTCTTGAAAAATGATCAAAACTGCTTAAACTTCTTTGTTTTAGACATATTTTAATAAAATAAAAAGCAGCATACCACAAGGACAAAAAAAAAGAACTGTGAAAACAAATTATAAATAAAATCATTTATTAATTAAATAATAATTAAATTAATTAATTAATTCAAGGTAATACAGACATATACCTCAATGTATAAAGACATTATGGTCAAAAAGACTCAAATACAAGTACTAGATATAAATAAATATATCAATTAACTCAATTAAATTGGTTTTAGAGAATATAAACTTGGATTCAGTTAACAAAACACAACATAAAATTGTGACTGTGTACATATGTTATTGCGATATGTGATTGCAGCGAGACCAGACATGCATGATGTCAGCCTGCACCACACAGATAGATTTAGGGAATTATAATATATTATAAACTTGTCTTCTCAGAAATAATTGTATGTTTTTGACAACCAAAACTTGGCAATAAATTCACTCACTTCACGAAGTCAGAAAAAATTGGTTTGATGGCGAGGTGGCTGACATCCCACGAGAGTGGGGACAATATACCAAAAAGCAGGACATTTGGATTAAAATGTAAAATAATGCAATAATTTAAATTATTTCAAAGTGTATAATATTCTAAAGTGACCAGTTGTTTGGACATTATCTATAAATAAATTCTTTTGCAAAACATGGTCATCGTTGCAAAAAAAGTGAAATTATTGACAAATTTGAAAGGTAAAGTATCATTTCAGATATTGACCCAGAGAGTGCTTTTCTTAGACTAGCTGTGTTGTGCGATAAATATCAATGCATATCAACTGACTTGGTTTGTGGACACACACACAAACTTGGATTTATCTGCTTGTATGCAATGAAATTGAGAGTGTTGAACTGTGGTGATGATAGATGCTCTACAAGATGATCCTTAGGTCAGAGCTGCATTATAATGTAACGGTTGAAGTGGATTTTTCTAACACTTTTGACCATCAATGTATTGAAGTAGTTATAAGCACAATCAGTTCAGACAAGTGTTACAATTTGAAAGACTTAGAGATGGAGGTTATAAAAATCAATATTTCTTGCACTTTGAATGCATGCTATAAAATCTAAAATTACAATGTTAAGACTAAGTAAGAGCACTTTAATGTCGCTGTATTACTACAGCTTACCATTCAAGATAAAACTATGAATAATTTATAGGACAAATGCTGTAAAGTCACTTGTGATACTCATTAACTGCTAGAATTATTAATAAAGAATTATTTTATAAATGACAATACCATACCTACCAAGTCTCATGCATCCGACGTGAACCTCACGCTTTTTGACCAAACCTCAAGCTCTCAAGCCACTCACCTAAAATCTTGCGCTTTTCCACTATTTCAAGCTTTATTTATTAACCCCAAACTTTTTATCAAAATACAATTCTACAGTTAATCAGGCCTAGAATCATCAAAAACTAATCATGGAAACTAATGTACATGCTGTGTAGTTTTGAATGCTCACAATGCCCTGAGTAAGCAAGTGTTTACGATATTCCTTACATGTTTTATTTTATAGCATATTCTGTAAATTTACTGAAAGATGAAAGATACATCTGAGGAGCTGTCAATTAGTTATTGTAAAAGAATTTCAGTTATCTGTTAAATTATTTGTTTGTGATACTTTACTAAAATTAGGCCAATTACAGATTGTCCATGCACTAAACCGAATTTATGTCAGCATTTCATTTTTATAAAGTGCTTTTCAAAAACTTTAAAAAGCTTGTGTCAATACCATTTAAGATCATTTTGAAGAGTAAAAATGTTGAGTAAATATACTGATAAAACTGTAGTCTAAATTGTAGACTTTGTAAACATGTTATTTTACATTACATTAGTTTCATAATTTTACATTAAGATGCATGGAACATTAGTGTTGTAATCTAGCAAAATAATGTCAAAAAAATATTATGAGCTGAAGGAATTAAAGTAGATGCTGATAATTCCCTATAGAGCTGAAGTTATGTATTAATTCCATCAGAAGTATTCATTGAAAATGGTAGTGTTATAACCTAAAAAAAAATTGTATTATCAAATGAGAAGCGTTTAAAGACATTTCATAATTCCTGGTGTTTTCCTATATGTTGAGTGACAAGGATCACAAGATTTGCGATTTTACTCCTTTAATTGTATGTATGCAAAACAGTTCAGTATTCACTTTTGCAGTACTTAAAAGATAATGATTCTAGAGGGCCTACTTAATCCATTTGTTTTGGTCCATTTGCATCAACGAACACACTAGTATTAAAAAAAATAACATTAGTATTTGAATCAGTTCCACTCTTATCCACAACTGTTTTTCCAAGTAGTATTTTATGATTCTTCAGTTTTTGCCTAAAACTGATTTATGGATCTCATATATTTTGATTCATAAAATATGATTGTTTAGTGATTTTATAAGTAGGCAAATGTAGTTTGTGATATATATTATTGCTGTACAGTAGGTTGTGGTGCCCCTGTCTCAACCACGCGGCCACCACCTCTACTCGAAAAGTGATTCATCATTTAAGTAAAACATTTAAAAAATGCACTGAAACATGCTCTCACTCAAAGGATATAAATAAGGAAAAAAATAAAAGGACAGCTCATAATGCTACTCTACTAGATGTCAACAACAAGCTCTTGCTGTACAATAAGCTGCTAGTGCTATGCAAATTGTATCATATTATTCAGGACCTGTAAATTGTCTTTCTGGGGCTTAATTTACACAGAGAGTTTTATAGTGTGATTTTTAAAAGAAAGGTTAGACGGGTTTAAACTGCACAAAAGATATGTAAATGTTATCCAAACTGACATTTCTGTAGACTTTATGTAATCGTGGTATTGTTGCTTCAACACCATTGTACTGTATTCTGTACAAAATAGTTGTCTCTGAGCATATAGTAGCCAAAATACTAAGAAATTGGAGACGGTTTTCTTGTTGAATTATATTGATTAAATTAGTTTTTGTTTGTTTTTCAATTCATTAAGTTACAATACATGTTTACAAGACCAGATACAAAAATGTATAATAATTCCTTGATCATCTATGTGTACAGTGGCGGATCTAGGGGTGGTGAATAGGGTGGTTAGCCATCCCCCTTTGGTGATCGGGGAAAAAAAATATGGTCATTCCTCTTGTGTGTGTGCTTCTCATGTATACTTGTTACATGTTGTAGGCTACTCTTGTAAAACATACACTTTCTATTTTAAGCTTAACTTCTTTTCAGATGTCATCCAAGAGCGTCTAGCCTTCTGCTAATTAAAAAAAAAACTCAAATTGAAAGGGATGCTTCCCCCAAAGCCCATGATCAAGGGGGGACAGGGGACACATCCCAAATACTGTTGAGGGGGTGGGCGTTGGTCCCCTCACTTTTCGTCCACCATGTAATAATTTCATAATTCAAGAAGATGCCTGAAAATTGTTGAAATGAACTGCATAAATGACACAGGTTTTAATAAAATTGTGGTCTACAACTGGTACTCTATCTCTGCCTAAATTGCACAAACATCTAAATTAGGCCTATACTTATAATACACTTCTCGAGTGCACGTGCCTTTATTATAATTTGAGAAGTGTGAGAAAAGGCGTGTAATAATAATAAGGTTTTCGGCACATGGAAAGTAAATTAAAAATACACCAAAGACAATTGAGTTTTATTTTCAATGGAACATCACAGCGATTAATTTGATAGATGATGATGAATTTTATTATATAAGAGTGTCATTTCCGGCAGGTACTGTTTCCCCAAATGTTCCCACCGTAGCCCTAAGGTGTGGTCGAATGGCTTTACAGTAAGTAGAGGTAGGCCTAAATTAAATACATCAAAGACAATGTTTTTAATATTTATTTTTTATAGTACATCACACATATTAGTTAGATATTTATGGTTGCCGAAAATCGCTGGTAAAACATGATGAGAAATTTGTTGGTGATGTGATGATGAATTTTACTATATAAAAGTGTCATTTCTGGTCATCTAGAGCTATTATTTCCTAAAATTTTCGCACCTCAGTCCCAACCATGGTGGGTGTGGGGTGAGTGTGGGCTCACGAAATATCTCCCTCACCTTTTGAAACAGATCTGCGCCCTTGTCAAAACCATGCCCTTCCACCCCCTTGGTGCTTTGCAAATTGCATTGCATTATCCACACCCCCCCCCCCCCCCCCCCCCTGCTAAATCCTAGATCCGCCACTGGCGTATGTAGGGTCTGTGATCTATGCAAGGACTCTGTGTTTAGTAATCCTACTCTTTGGCACACAGTGAGTGAATTAGTGCATTTCAATTCAAACACAAACAGCATGTGTATTATCAATTTTTCCTGTAGGGAACACATTAATAATTCAACAATGTAATTGCTATTTCAGCAAATAACAGATGTTACAAACTTTTGTCAAAAATAACAATGAAAGCGAATGTAATAAAAACATTTTCATTTTAAAAATCTATTGCTTGGAACAGGCTGTAATAACACCAATGAATTGTACACATCGGTACTGTAGCCTTTTGCATATATAAATCAAAGATTATAGAATCTATCAAAACAAAAAATACATGTACTGCCTTATCACTACTCAAAAATAAGCTACGATTTAGAGCAGAAACACAAGCAAATAAACATATACAGCAAATGAAAAAAAAATTAAAAAGAAAACTTATAAAAAATACAGCAGGTTATAAACAAAATTATTATTGTATCTATTGTCAAATCGAAAACAATAATTGTAATGATGCAAATGCTTTTTTGAATGTTTGAATAAAAAGTGGTGGCTTTACCAATGAAACAAAGAGGAAAACCACAGAAAAGTGATTTCAGTGAAGGTTACTGTCATCTGCAGTTTCCATGATCTCCGTCATTGATCTGTAATTATCTGACCTGACAACTTGTGCCTAATGGTCAGGGGGAGGTTGAGCAAATTTTGTTATTGTACTGGGTTAATCTATTTGGACAACAAATATCAATCAATTATCATTGAGCATACAATATGGTATTTGTCTTTAAAGACAAAATTATACAAAGATTTACAACCAATAATATATTCAAATTACAGTATTCCGAGACTATTTAAAAAAGTAAATTAAAATTACAGGGTACAAAATGTAAACATGGACGTTCAGAGAAGTCATTTGCATACAATACGATACGATACTCATTTATTGTGATTTTAACAACAGTAAAAACAATATTACGTTCAATTCAGAAACATAAAAAGTATGAATAAATAGGTAATAAATAAATACATTCCTTGAGAGAATCATATGGGGTGGGTGGGGGGAGTTTGTTGAGTGTTTACTGGAAAGAGTGGATGATGTAGTCAACTGATGATCAATTATTAATGTGTTGTGTTTACTTCTTGTTTTCATGGTTTTTGGAATTAATGAAAGCCACAGAAACTTTTGTTACGCTTTGTCAGTGCAAGAACTAGTTTCCCTTATAATGCTTGATGCTACTGTAGTATCTGTGTAGCCTGTCTATCCAAACACTAAATATGCATGAATTTAACAATGATTTTATATTTACATAAGCGGATTCATTTTTTAAAAATTATCAAAAATGAAGAAAAAAAAGGAAAATAATATTTTCGGCCGTCAAGATATGCCATACTCATAAAATTTCTCACCGCAGCCCTAACCATGCTGCGCCCCAGGGTGGTTTAGAACCCCCATCTGTTAAATCAACCCTGTGGGGCTCCTCTATTTCGAATTTCTTGATCTCCCACACTACCTTTTTAAAGGCCAATGTTGTTTTAATAAATGGGCTGTTTGTAGCCTGTTTCACAGTCTTAGAGTAGCAACAAAGAAAGATCAATAGCTTCATAAATTGGATAAGCGCAGTTCATCAAGCAATCACTTGCCACTAAAGCAGAGATTTCATGAATTTGTTTTGATAAAAACAGGTCACTTTCAAGATAATTTTAGCCAAATCCATTGAGTTGATTACAATATATTAAAATAATGTAGTTTAGAAATTTCAATAATGCATTGAAGAAAAAAATCATGGTGTTTTTTACAAGCTCCTCACATTTCACAAAATAATCAAAAAATAACTGATATAGTAATGAGATGAGCTCTGGTCATTCATTATTTACTGGAGAGCATAAAACCAAATTTAGAATGACAGAATGATGTGATTGCATTCTTATATTATTTATTATTGGCAGTGGCATTAACATTTATTTTGTGCAAGTGGTTCATCTACAAAAGTTTAATAGAATAATGTGTTATTTCGTTTTCAGTCGAATATCTAACACAAATTGTGGATGAATGTGTTTAATTATGTATGAGTTTTTGTGTAGAGTATGTTGTGATGTGTTTGATGGCTAATTCGATCTGGTATCTTTTCATTGTACTAGCATACTGTGGGAGCTAGATGCCTGTGTTTATTTTATTTACCATTTTTAAAGAGGGTGGTCTATCCAGTTCCTATAGGATCTGATCATTAAGAGCCCTCGGTAAAAACATACATACAATAAAGCAAGTAAAATATGAAAATATTCAAAAGACAGATTGAAGTTAAAAAGCCTACAATATTAACAATACGTTAACACTTGTTAAAATAGGACAAATGAAATATAAAAGTTTATCTATTAATAAAATTGCTTAAGTTTCGTTTAAAAGAGTATAATTTTTTAGATAAACGAATACAGTATCTTGTATTTTGTGCACCTACAGTAACTTAAAAGTTACTCTGTTTTATTAGACTCAGACTTATATTATTTGTTGCTCACAAATATACATCCATTCTAATAAGCAGATATTAATCTTTACAGTATAGAAATTGAAAAAAAGATTAAAAAAACTATTAAAATTATTATATTATAACTATCAGAATCACAAGCTATTCAAAAGTGTGTATATTGAAAAGAAACATCAAAAAGAAAAAAATAATAATAAAGAAAAAAAAATAATAATAAAGATCATTTTTGAAATTAATTTGATCATTTTGAATTAAGAAATCCAAAGAATGGGATACAAAGCATTGTCCTTCTATATTTCAAACTTTATTCTGTTAATTTTCAGGAATAAGGTAAGATAACACCAGAAAAAATTTTAAAATCAATAAATGAATAATGTCTAAATCAAGAGGCTTGCTTTCACAAATTGTAAAACCATTTAAATAATATCAAGATCTCTTATCACAAGTTATGATTCGAATTTTATTATTCACATTTAATGATAAAATTCTAGCCCTATTGAAACAATATTGAATGCAAAATAGTTATAATTCATTTTCTTCAAAAGAATATCATGTTTCGTGTTGGACTACTGTACTGTAGTCAGTTTTTAAATACGGTATCTTCATTTTAAAATTTATCTATATGTTTTAAGATAAAAAATGTAGAGGTGCTTACAGTATAGTCCCTAAATGCTAATTTGTTTCTGTAGATATAGCTCACTTTCGCATTCAATTTTCCTGACCAATTTGTATAAACAAATATGACGGAAATGTGTCTACGGTTTGCAAAGACAAAAATCAATAGCAGTTGAGTCATATTGAAAAAAAAAAAAAATCTATAATGCTATGCCCACACTGAAGTTTTATGTTCCAGTGTTTGTGATTTGCCCATATGTGGGTGTGGCGTGATATCATGATGTCCATCAGGGGCGGATACAGGATTTAGCAAAAGTGGGGGGGGGGCGCCAAAGTAAAGATGGACGACCAGCCAAGGTACGAAGGGGGTCGTCAATGGAGATGTGCACACATATCAGTGTACTGTGGTCACTGTGCATGGCGTTGTCTGACAGCACATACCTGCTGAGAGTGATTGATTGCACAAAGGTTTCCATGCTGGTGCATCTGCACTTAAACTGTCTTTGTAGCTATGCATTGCGCGATATGACATAGAATCAACCTTTCTATGGAATTGTGTATCCATTACATTATCTCAAAAAAAAAAAAAAAAAATAAAAACCTTTATTTTTTTTTATATAAAAAAAAAAAAACCTTTATTTTTTTTTATATAAGGCGATGGGAGAACGTGTCGCAGGTGCCCCCCCCCCCAAAATCCACCCATGTCCATATATGGTTCTGATGTGACATTATCATGTCCATATATGGCCTATGGGCAATCAACTATTTGAGAAAGAAAACCTTTTTAATATGGAAAAACCTTCAAACATGTCATTTTCATTTAACTGTAATTTTTTAAAACTTTATTGATTTGATTTTCTATATTTTATGAACAGGGGTGTTCCTACAGCTGTACCGGTGGAGAATGTCCGTTGCTACACTCCTGTGCACACGGAAGCTGTCCAGAGCATTTGCGTTGTGAAAGATAATATTTGCCTGTCAGGTAGCTCAGATAAGGTAAAAGGTTTTCAACAAGTTAATATTAGAAGAAGAGCACATTGAAAGGTCAATAAATCATCAGATGATATTAGAAAATAGTCTGGTTTTAGAAGATGAGCATTATTGAGTGGTCAACAAGGTATCAGGCAGTATGAGAAAATAGATTGGTCAACAAGTTATGAGAAGATAAGCATAATGAGCGCTGAGCGGCCAACAAGATAGTTTGAGATTCATTGTTTATTTCTTAATTTAAATGCGTTGATATTTGTGTACACCCATTTTATGATAAATATGACAAATATGACACTGTATCTGATAGAGGCTATTGATTCAACTACTTGATTAAAGCTAAAGACAGGGACATGGTTTGTGTAGATTATAGTTTTCTGTCTGGTGTCTTTGTGCTATGATTTATTACATCTGTCATTTGTGATGAATAGTTTCAGGTTTGTGTCTTTATCTTTACACATTTTCATTTATTACTGTACGTCTGTGTGAAAAATTGTAAATGACACATCTAGGTTATCAAATTACATCTAATAAAACTATTAGAGCCTCAAAACCAGCAAACTGTGAAAAAAGAAAAAATGACAAGACCATGGGGGAAATAATTAAGGACCAACAAAAAAACAATTACCAACATATTGGATCCCTGCTGAAAAAATTTAAATAATCGATTATTCCTAATCGGTTATTCAGACATGCGTTGCGACGTTCTTGCAATTTGTAAAATTGGCAATTCATCGCCCATCGCAGTAAAAAAAAGTAATTTATTCGGGACCTTGTATGCACTACTGTAGGCTATAAAGTCATGTCAAAACCTTTAAAACATTTTCCATCAGACTTCTATGCTCTGCTTTGGGAATTTTACAGCTGGCTGTTGCAACCTCATTTCACTGGCACTGATTTATGTTCTTTCTCAGAATTAGGTACAAGTCCCAAGAAAAAATATCCTAGGATGTGTTTCTACTGAAAATCGAGATAGAAACTGTTCTATTATCATTGGTTAATTATCGGATTAGCATAAGAACCACATTGGAACTGCATTTTGACTCCACATGAAACAGTTGCGTATTTGAAACCGGTCTGATACTCCATAGTATACATGACATAAAAATACTCCCAGCGGAAGCGTGTGTCTATGCCCTATGCTGGCTTACCGTATTATGTTTACTAATAGAGTATCCACATGGGATTTGGTTATGTGGAAATTTGAGGTGTTTTTTTTTTTTTTATGACTTTTGTACAATAATAAGGTATTTCAGATGACAAATGACCCATCATGCACATCCACCGGATTTACCCTTTCAGCCATCTTTAACTGCCAGACAATAACATAGTGACACAAAAATTACCTAGAATGCAATTTAAAATTACGAAAATAACCTTTAACAACAATATTTTCGCAAGACTACCAAGATACAAACAAACAACAATAATCTCTCCTATCCAAAAAAATGGGTCATATCTCTATTCAAATAATTAAACAAAAGTTCAACTTTTGTTCTTTCTTTAACAAAAGAGACTTTTTTGTTGTGTTTTGAGAACAGAAGTTTTTTATAATTATCGTAGGTCTGTCACGTCCCGTCAGATAAGGTCACTAAAAATTATTCCACAATAAACTGTTCTTTTGTACGAATAATGGTTCTTTGGGGTTCCCAGCACGGTATTGATTCCGTGCCCAGGAACCTTTCTTTGGAATGCCATAAAGAATGGTTATTTTTTGTGGGTCCCGTTTTTCGAAAAAATAGGCTCTTATGAGCAAGTTCTATCTCGTCAGTAGAAACAGGCTTCTAACTACCTGAATTTTGGCCTGTGAAAGTCTGGCAGATAAGAAAGTGGGTGGCATTTTCTTGGGAGCTGTACTATACACAATATCGTTTATGTTTTGGTTGTAATATATATTTAAAAAAATAATTATTTTTAATTTTGAAAAACATAACTTTACTCTATATCTAAAATCACAATTATTGGTATTTTATATTTTGTGATTTATTTGATTTTTAGAGCCTGGTACTTTATAAGTGGACAGATGGAACTATTATGCAGAGATGGACAGGACATAAGAGAGAGATTACAAAGGTATCAATCAAGTACGATTATTCGTAAAAAGCTAAAACATTGTAGCTTGGCATTCTGGGCATCCACTGAGGCTTAGCCTCCACCATGGCCCTTGGTAGCACCCAGGCTCTGAGCCTTAACTCAGGCCTACGACTTTTACATCAAAATGCCTGCCAATTAATCGTGCACTGAGGCCTGTCATCAGCGGCTACGCTGCTGATTGATGGCCTTTGACCAAGGACTTTTTGCAATGTTAAAACCGAGAGTCTGTGAATGTTGGGATCTAGCTAGCTGTTGTTTTCAGCCATTGCCATTGTAAGTTGTGCTATAATTTAAGATTAATAATATGCAGAGGATATCTGTTGAAAATGGTAATTACCAACATGATGAATGAAGTGTATTTTGCGTTTGTATGATGCCATAGCTACGACATCTACCCCACCAGCCATCGATATCAATTTTTACTAATATAGGTAATTCAGCACTCTAGATTGAGTAGAATTTTCAAGCAGTAGTCATATTGCACATGCAAATTAGATAATTACTAAACATCGTGCATATTTGTTATGCATTGTTCAGACATTACTGCTGTCAAATTGTGGGAACGGTTCCAATATTTGTATGCTATGAACAGTAGATAACTTTGGTTCAGTCTATTCCAAAAAAACTGTCTGTCATAATAGTGGAGTGGAGTTGAATAGCTTGGTGGTAAGATCCTTTGCCTTCCAGTCCCGGTGAGTTTTAAAGATGACCTGGTTATTACCCACTAAATGTACGAAGTATGAACGAGAGTATAACATGGACCCGCACGCTACAGACGGAGTTTTATCGCTAAAACTAAAAGGCGAGTTGATATATGAACACAAGCTTAGTTTATGTAGAGCATCTTGTTTATGTTTGTATTGTGAAGGAATATGCCACTTTGAATAGTGACTTAAGGTCACTCACTGCCTGGTAATTCTTGGCTTTAGCCTAAAACCAGTTAATAAAAAAGAAAAAATTATGTAATAATTATAATAAGATGAAAGATATCTGGAATGAACGTTAATGAATGAACGTTAAATAATGAATGATAATAATAATAATGATTGATAATCCATAATAAATATGATACAGTAATATATACTACACAATGATATTCGACATACAAGATGAAATGGTAACTTACAGTATCTTATTGTTTTTTTTATTTATCAGTTTATCATCCAATTTCTGTCAATTGATAAACTGATAAAAAAAAAAAAAATGTTACTACTGTATTTCTTATTTTTAAATTTTTTTATCAGTTTATCATTTTATTTCTATTAATTGATAGAAATAGAAATGATAAGCTGATAAATAAAAAAAAAACAATAAAAAATGTTAACATCAACAAATAATAATTATAATAACGTAAAATCATTTTTACTTTCTATCTACCGCCATAGTTTAAAACAAACTCACATATCTCCCAGAGGGTATATTTTGCCAGTGAGATCACAAGGATCAAAATATAATTAAAGTTCTGTAAAATGATCTAATAAGCACCGCTATCACAAGCGGTTTCAATGGTTACTGTAATACTCATAAAAATGGTGCACTTCTTTGTTTTATGTTAATTCATTGGCATTTCAGAGTAGATATGCAGTATGCTATTCTATTGTGCATCCTTCATACTCAGTTATTTCACTTCAGAAAGAAAATAGATGGTGCTTGTGATAATAGGTAGCTTTCGATTGTATGACTATGTTAGGAAAAGTCATCTGTGCATGCGAAAATGTTAAGGTCACTACGTCGAGTAGATTCTGGAACGCAATTTGGCCAAATCTACATATGCAGAGAACGTAGGACGCCAGTTAGGAGGGTCACGCATGAATGATTCCGTTCTAGCGTCGCGTCGTCGCACAAATCGAAAGCTACCTAGTATGGGTGCCAGCTTACCAGTACTGTGTATTTCTTTGAATAAAACCCACAACTTTGACCCTCAGAAAAGTTTTGGCAACACAAATTTGCAAATATTTTCTAAAACAAAAAAATCACTATTTAATTTTCTTGTTGCAGGTGGCTCATGCAATTGATTCCGATGCCTTTTTCAGTGCATCACGAGATAAAACCGTTAATATGTGGAAGCGAGGAACAACACAAGGTGGTGTTTGCCAAACAATAAGTCAGACATTTGAAGGTCATGACCTTGTAGTCACTGGCTTAGCAGTAAGTTTAATCAGTAAGTTTCTTGACTTTCAATTAAAAGTATTTTTATATTTAATACTATTAAAACAAAATGATGTTTGAATAATTTGAATATATTCTGAAATTTTAAGAACAAATCATTTGTGCTACAACATAATGCTTGAAATGGATTCGCTCATCCATGAGCATCCTACATTTTCTGCATAACATAGATTCGGCCCAAGCTGCGTCCTAAAATCCTTGAACAAATCATACAGTAATAGAATTTCATCATGTGCTCTCTGATTGAAAGAATGTTGGTAAAATTTGTATGTTGGTAATAGGGAGGTTTTGATTTGTGCAACAACGCTTGAAACGGATTCACTCATCTGTGACCGTCCAACATTCTCTGCACAACATAGATTCAGGCCAATCTGTATCCTAGAATCCAAGCAACAACAAGAACTCGTTCTTGCTTGCACAGGTGACTTTGTGGTGGCGTCATTACCTTTCAAGTCTTACCATTGTACAATTGAAAGTGTTAGTGGTATAGTCTCTATTTTTAACTGGTACAACCTGCTCAGTCGCACAAATTTACTAAACATCCTAAAATGTGTTAAAGATGCAAAATACTGATTAAGCGAAATGGGCAAGTGATACAAAGAGGGTTCTGAAAATGAATGTTGATCTGGAAGAAGGGGGTTGTAAAACAGTGGTTCCCAACCTGGAGTCATCAAACACATGCTCCAGCAATAAGGACTTTGAAGTCCTCCAAGTCAAACAATTCTCCATGTGGTTTGCAGAAAATTAGTGGTTCGCTATAAGCATATTGCGATATTCGTATTGTGTGCATATAATAATATAATGAAGTTAGGAATGAATATATAAAATTGAAATATATTTATTTGTATTGTAGCATATTGTTTTTATTTTTAATCACTAAAAGGAATATACAGTGGAGACATACAGTACATTACTGTCAACATTGAAAACTCTTCCGTTTAATAAGAGCATACTGTATGTGGCAAAGATCAGTCACTCTTCGCAAATCATGTTTAGGGGACAATGGCCAAAACATGTTTGAATGTCCAAATTTTCCAAATCTATATTTTATTGCACTAAACTATTATTTATATATCTGTACTTTGTGCTATGTTTTTATTTCTCACATCTTCTTTGAGAACTGTTATCTCAGTGCCAAATAGTCATTTTTTGTGAGGTTGTTTTAATCTGCAATCACTAGAGCAGATAAATTTCCAACAAATTTTTTCCACAGGTATTAGACCAAAAAAAAAATGTTGTGTTGCCCTCCGCAACTGACCGAAATTTTTCAAAAAGTCGGTCGGCTTTTTTTTTTTTTTTTACAATTTTTTTCAAAGGTCTTCCTGTCATTTAAGTACAAATTTGAGAAATACCACTTCCGAAATTAACATTTAGAACGTAAAATTGATGACAATTTTTTTACCAAAATCGGGCCATAGATGCATGCGCAAAATAGGTAAAATAGAAGGCATAATTTTGAGAACCGAGCGTGACGACGACGATGTAGCTAGGCATGCAATATCAGATCTCACGCGCTGAGCTGTCAAGCAACGATTAGGTCTAGGCCTAGCCAGTTCTTTACTGTACAACTAGTGATTGCTTGAATCAAAGATCGTATTCATTACCTTACGGTATATAGGACAATATATAAAAACAGGCTAATGTCTATCTATCACTTTAAAGCCGGTACATAGCTAGACATTTTAGGCTCCGTTACGGATTTAGGCCAACCATGAACAAAATTTTTTTTTTCTTGAAGTTTACTTCAATTGTATTACATAGAGTGCGCTTGTTTGGCCATTTTTTTCATAGCCAATGTATGGTTTTGCTCGACCCCGATAAATATTAGGGGCGGATCCAGTAGGGGGCAGGTTCCGACGATCTTGATTTTTTCCATTTAAGGGCAACACAACAATTTCTTTTTTTTTTTTTTTTTGGCAAAGAATGGAATTCACAGCATTTCACGATAATTGTGAATGGTTTTTATAGTGAAATAAAAGTGGAACTTGAAAAAGTGGGAGAGTGGTAGGGTGCACACCTTCTGCACCCCCTTGCCTAAAGGTCTGTTTTTTTTGTCTGGGAATAAGATTATCACCCGATTAACAGTTCTTCAAAATAAACCAGCCAAGGGAAAAATATTCTATCTATACTTGAGCTACTCAAGATATAAGATGAGTGTTATTATCGAGCTTAATTTTAACAATTCAAAAGAAGTCATCAACTGTTGAAACCATCCATCATGTAAAACAATTTAACGATCAAATCCCTTGAAGCAGCGTATTAGGCAATAACTTGAGATATTACACGTAACGGATGATCACTTTTTTCATCCTTATTGCACTTTAATGCATAGAGTTTCAGTATGTTCATATTGTATTACTAATATTATTAAATTTAATCTATTCTTTCTGTTGCAATGTTAGCAATAGTATAGCAATAATTTATTATATTTTTTGTATGTGCTTTTTAATATTTTAGTGTTCAACTTCATTTTTATAATGCTATTTTATATTACTTGTTAGTTTCTAATAATAGTTTATATTCATAGGCAGATTCAAGGTGGGGGCCCACCCGGCCCAGCCAGCCCAGACCCCCTCCCCCCGAATTTGTCAGAATTTTTTAAAAAATTAAGAAAAAAGAAAATTCTTACCTCAGCCCCAATCATGGTGGGGCTGAGGTAGTATAGACCCTCCACCTGTGAAAGTCCCTATCCGGGGCCCCTCTATTTAAATTTCCTGGATCCGCCACTGATATTTTAATCCAACACAATTTCACGTAATACAAATTATGTAAAACTATTTTCTGTATCTGCCAGTTTATAATACTAGATTTATATTACAAGCATTAAGAAAGTTCACTTGTTCGATAATAACAGTAAAGTACTTTAAGCTGAATATCAGATCTTGTCTTATCCTGATACTATAATTAGAAGTAATGATTTGTCACTCTGTTTTATTACAGAAATTACTTGATACATAGCACTGCTTTGAGTATAGAAGGTGTTAAAAAGTCATAAAACACTGTAGACAAAGTTGCCAAGAATAAATCAATTTACAGTATGTAGAGCAAATGCATGTTGTTTGTCTGGATCTTAGTAGTTTATATTGGTCCACGGTGAATCTGACGAAGTGGAACATTAAACTACTGTACACATTTTTAGTTCTCCTTAAGGTGCCAAAGTATATGCAAAAGCATTCAACAGTGAAATGAAAATACTAGTGACTATTGCAAGAAAAGCTGATGGAGATTGTTGTTGAACACAGTTTTCAAAGAATTCTGGTAAAAAAATGAGCAGTGGTTAGAGCTGGGGTTGGTTTTGGTGTGTGGCATCAGTGTTTTTTTGTTTCATTTTCATTTCATTTCAAATAACATTCTTTAAAATGGTAAAGTGAAACAATTGATTCAAATAATTAAAAAAGAGAAAAACATTTGAAAAGGGCAAAACCGGAAAAGCAACAAAACTTGTAGATGGCTCGCCTGAGAAAAAGAGAAAATGAAACGGAAAACAGAAAAATCAACAACAGATCACAAAGAGACAGGTCGGGTCGTGGTCGAACTTGGTGAATTATGGCATCTGTTTTGAATCTCTATTGACAGGGTGCTTTGAGTATTACTGTATTTAAATTGAATATAGAAGCTTTACAGTATAAACTTTGAGAAATCTGCCCTATTGCAAGTTTTATTAATTTTATCCTAAACAGCTACGGTACTTGTGGGACTGTACTTGCCTTCAGGCGAGACTATTTCATGCCTTGATTTGCAAACTTGTTTTGTGCCAATACAGTATTTCAAGTAAAAATATTTTATTTTGGCCTCTTACAGTAGATCTGCCATGTGTAAATTTGAAAAGTTCTGAAAAAAATTGCAAGTTCCATTCTTTTTGCCTGCTGCCATCTGATTAAAAATGAATTTATTTATCAAAATCATATGAAGCACTCATATTATATTTATTCATAAAAAACACTTTTTAAAATTTACTCCCATATGCTTATGGTAGACCCAATTGCTAAATAAGACAATATCAGTTGTATTTGAAGGTTTGCTAAAGAAGACAATATCGCGTTATCGTACAGTAAGGTACTGTATTATAAACATGCAATCAAGTTTTTTCCTTTTCAAGACGTTTCAGTATTAACATTTAAGTCAGAAGGTACTCTGTGGTTGATTGTTAGGCTTCTGTCATTTGACTACAGTTGCTTGATAAGATATTTTTGTATTTTAGAGATGATACAAGGGCCACAAGCGTTTCAAACCCTAATAAACACAAATACAGAATATAATAATATATGCTGGCTCATTATAACTTGCCTGTTGATTCAGATTTGTTTTATTGACACTGTTTTTTTTATGGATCTACTAATTTAGTATAATGAAAAGGCTTGCGTACTTCATTCAACTGGATTGGAATGATTCAGTCACAATTCAAATATCTTAGAGGCTTATTTTAATATTGCTACACTATAACAGTATTATCTTATCTTTTGTGTAAGCTAACTTTAAAGTATATAGTATTCTAATGTTTTCACCAAACTAAAACACTTACAATTTATGATTTTATTTTTTTTTTCGCATTATATTTGATGTAATGTGATGTCATTTTAAACATTTCTATGATATTTTTAGCATATATTTCATAATAAATATTTGAGAACAACATATGTCCCCCATTGAGGTTCGAGCCCAAAACCTTTCGAATACTCTATCAACTGAGCTATGAGACCAAGTGGTTATATATTTTATGTAATGTTTTAACTTTTATGTGTTTTATTATATTTTTTATAATGTCATTATTAGCTGGAAGTTTTAACATTTTTGAATTTTAAAGGCTTACCTTAAATCAATTATTTGTAGTCTCATATTAAATCTGCGAATATTACATAATTTTTTTTTTCTCCTGGACTATTATTTATTGTATTGACCTCCCCACCAGGAACTCACAATTCCCTAATAACGCGACTCCCTGGAAAAGACATCTGATAGGTCATTGCCTGCTATAAAAGTCCAGGTATATGAAAATCTTGCCAGACACTGACATTTAGCGGTTGTTTATATGCTATAATGAGCTGGTATAATGTAACATAACCTGACATGGGACCGAGAGGTTAGAATGTTTGAATGGACTATGTCTGTGCTATAATGAAGCCGGCATACAAAATAGTATAATGTAGAGAGTTCAGAACGTTTATATTGCAACATGATTAATTAGCATCATGCAATATACGGCACCAACCAAAAAAAAATGGTTCGTATGATTAATTGTGTGCTCCCGGTGATCAGATGATGTGATAAGGCTACTGTTTCCAAGAGTAGTTACGATAATTATAGCCTGAAGAATATGTAGAACTGACATAGAACTGACATACAGATAAGGTCATATGTGGCCGAACCAGATAAGTTAATTTTTTATAGATGTAAAGGCAGTTTTTCCACTAGGCGAATTTATTTGCAAAGCAAAAGCATTTGACACATACACAATTTAAATTTTGTTTGGTTTTGGTGGTACACTTCAGCAAATTTTGAAGTTTGAACAGTTTCTTCTAATGAGTATAGAATCTAATTGATGATTGATTTTAATTTTTCAGATAATCAACTTATATGTACAGGGTCTCGTGACAACTTTCTACGATTATGGGATGTAGAAACTGGATATTGTACAAAACAGAGCGCCATATCCAGAAACTTAGTGACAGATGTAAAATGGGTCCCTGGCCAACATGCAGTAGCACAAACAAGTGAAGATAAATGTCTACGGTATGACCCTTCTCTCTGATTTCATTTTGATAAAAAAATGATTAAACAAAATCAAGAGCATACTTATTTGAAACATTGATATTAAATAAAATAAACCAGATTTAGAATCTCTAAATTAAAAAAAAAAAAAAAAAAATGGTGAAACTGTCAACACAGCGAAAACAGTAACTGAAATTAGTTTAAAGGAAGAAATTACGGTATTTATTGAATCAACTATCAGGAACCAGATGAAACTATTTACCCAAAAAAGAAACAGTTCTTGAAACTGGAAAGTACATCCTTTTATCATTGAGGGCCAACATTGATTTAACAAATAGATCAGGCTTTTAAACATCCACTTGTCTTCAGAACAGAAATTGTGGAGCGGAGTAATCTTGTGGTTTGTTCGTACCTTACACTTTTAAGGACCTGGGTTCAATTCTTTAAAACAACTCATTACATCTCTTAAAAATGAGTGTTTTAAAAAAGCAGCTTCACTCATAAATCACCTTTAGCCAGTCCAACAAGGGTTCTGAGATTCCCAAAAAGAAGGCTGGTTTTTTATGAAGGGAGTGTAAGTTGGAGGGGCGAGGAACAGAACACACCTCCTCATAGGGGTTCCTACATGCATACCCCTAAAAACAATTTCGGAATATAAAATTTTAATCAATTTTTGAGCCTTGCATTCTGTTAAAAATTACATAAATTTTTTTTTCACCACCAACGAATAGTGTTTTTTTTTTCTCTCTGCTGACTTCCCACTTGTGCCACCACTGATAATAATAATAATAATAGATGGACTTATAGCGCAAATAAACAAGGTCTCTATGCACTATGACATCTTGTGCCAATGACACCATGTCTTCTACAATAGTAAAAATGTGTGAAATGCTTTTATTTTTTTAGAATTTGGGATACAAGATCTCTTCAAGAAAGTCAAATATTTCCAAAGAAAAATTATATTCAAACATGCTGTGATGTGTCCAAAGATGGACTTTATTGTGTAACAAGTAGTAATGGTTTTAGTGGACAAGGATGTGAGGCTACGGTAGGTCATACTCAGTAGTGATTGTTCAAGTAATTTAATTGTCTGCACAATACTCAACAGTAATTGATCAATTATTGCTTTCTTATTTGATGTTCACTATTTCTTACCAAAATTCTGCTGTTACCAATCAGTTTTTGTATAACTTGCCTGATAAGTACGTACTCACTTTACTGCTTACTGATCTCATGACCGGGTGTGGTTGTAGGGCCACTGCGCACTTGAACGCTTGACCAGCTCCTTCCATGATTTTCGGTCACGTGCCACCATCTGTGTCTGTGCGAAGGATTTCCCAGTTCATTTGGCGATGTTATCTGCCTGATAAATGGTGATAGCTTAAATTGTTGTTTGTATTTCATCTGTAAATTATCATTTTTGTTTCTTCATTTTTACTTAGAGAATTAATTTTATATTTGATTGAAATCAAATTTTAATTGCACAAATACTGAAGATTTTCCGTAATTATACCCAAGTATTCTGCAATCAGAATACAACTTGGCTTGCTATTTGAAAGACTCTTCAAGCCTGGGGATATGACTCATAGCCTCATTTTAAATAATGGTAAATCTATAGATGCTTGTTAAATGGTTGCAGCATTTAAGATAATTATAGCAATCTATGTAACTATGGACACATGTTAAACACTTCGGCCAATTATAGCGCAGCACACTTGTTACATCACATAATCCTGCATTACACTAAAGCCTACTAGCTATGAATTAAATAAGAGGCAGACTTATCAAACATGAATATGTTAATTGATAATTTGGAAATGTCTTCATTATCTCATTATTCCATCTGGGAAAAAACATAAGGTAAAAAAAACATATATTTTTTAGAAATATGTTATATTTTCTTGTACAGTATTGTAATATTGTTACAGTAAAGTCAAATATCGTAGCATCCATGTATGCCAGATATTAGTCTAGACACTAGCCTCTGATGAGGCTAGGACTTCTAATGTTTCTAAAGTGATAAATGACAAAATATCCTTGATGTATAAATCCTGCAGCAAGGTGTATTTCTTTATGATTTGCTTGTAATTTTCAATTAACAGATAACCTAATGAAATTTGTTAAGCACAATCTTACTGTTGAGATAATTAATATCTTGCCCTAAGTCAGGTTGTAGTGTTTATCTCCTGAATTGACAAAATATCATGAAACAGAATTTTGAAATTAACTTGTTCATTTTGCAGTAACAAATTTACCAAATTTATTAACATTATTAGCATAAATATTCTTGAATTTAAAAAATGTGTACCCTGATTTTTTTTATACTGGGTAATGATAAAATGATAAAAACACTGGAAGTGACTGGAAGTGTTTTTATCATTTTTAACTGTAAAATTATGGGTAAACATTTGCTTTAATGTGCCATAAATAAATGCCATTGATAAATTAGTTCATGCTTAGAACTGAAAATAATAATGGCTCTATTGTAAAATCAAAATTTTGAATAACTAATTTGCAAATAAAATATCTAAATTTTGATTTTTTAAAATTTATTAATTGAATTTTAATGTTTTACTGTAATATTTCAGTTTTGTGTTCGTTTCCTTGTTTTTAATATTTAAATCGATATTTAGCCTGTGTAAATCTGTTAAATCAGGCTGCAACCTGCATCCTGTTCTTCGTAAATGTTTTTGTATATTTTATATTGAATATCAGTAAAGAATGAAGAAAAAAAAACAAAACACTATTTTATGTTACTTCTAAGTGTGCAATTTGATATCTAAAATAATTTTCATGATTTATTTTGGTATTTTTCATGGAACACTACATCTTTAAAACTACCTTGAAAAGTAGTAATGTCCATTAAAAGCCAACCTGATATGCTTTTAGTAACCTACAACAGTGATTATAGTGGCTCATTAAACTGATATATTATACATCTTAGACTTTGTTGAAATTCCTGTTTTTTCTTTTGTAGTTATGGGATCTACGAACAAGCAAATTAATAATGGAGTACAAAGGTCACACGCAGACCACTTGTGCGTGTGCCTTTTCACAAACAGGGCGCCCTCTAGTGGTGACCTGCTCCAATGACTCAACTGTTAGGGTATGGGATAGAGATACCTCAGGTAATCTTTCCATATTATATTTCACAATTGTTATTATTATTTGTTACTGTTCAAATGATATAGTATTGTTGTTATTGATATAGTATGATTGTCATCAATATTTTTACCAATATAAATAGTATTATTACCAGTATAATACCTGGAATGTATTCTAGTGAAAGCGTGTGGGGCAGTGTTTATGGTGTTGGGCAAGAAAAGGTACTTGTAAGTTGATAAGTGTAAAATGAAACACTTATAAAATGTCTTATTTGATGGAGGTTATAATGTTCTTAACATTTTATTTCTCTAAAGTCTTTACTATGGATATAAAATAATTTGCCAATTTTCTTATCAGAATAAAAATGTGATAAATTATCAAGTAGTAAATGATGTTTAAATTTTATTGTGCCACTGTCAGTCATAATACCAGTAGTCACCTTGAACCTGTAAAATATGTTACTTTTTTTTAATCCTTTATAGATACAGTATATAGTAAAAAATGATTTATGAAAGATCTTTTTTTTTTTTGACAACATGGCCTTTTTATTCCAAATTCTACTGTATTTGTTCAAGGCTGTTAAGTGACAATGTAATCTTTTCTGTTCAATGTATACTTTCTTTGAACCAGGCTATCCCTTGTATTTGGTATGTTAAAATGGTTTTGTCATTCTTTTGATGATACTAGAGTCATGTTTGTAAAATATTGATTGTTAAATGGGTTTCTGTTTGTGTGGCTTATTAGAGGTGTGGAGGAATTTTCATTCTTATGAATATTTTTTACAAGCAATGTAGACAGAGATATTTGCACACGTCAGGATTGTTTAAATTTTTAAATGAAAAAAGATAATTGAGCAACCTAACTATTTTTTAAGTTTAGGAGAGGCATTTTGCTTTTATTAAACCAGATCTCGTTTCTGTAATGATTACTCTTTCAGAGTAATTGCATAAATTTTTAAAAGTATGTTATAGAAGACGAATACTATGTGTTACCGTGTCCGGTTTATGGTGAACTTTAGTGGTTTATATAACTAGGTATCCTACAAATCAAAAATGTATAAACAAATGTGAAAATGTATATCATCTATGTTCATAGAAGAATAGATTGCTTTTTCTTAATGGTTTTATATATCTGGATATTAATTTGTTTTTGTTTTTTATTGTTTCCTGGATATACATTTAGTTTTTTTTTTGTAGGTTTTGAATTTAATTTCTTAAAGATTTAAATGATATATTTCATTTTGCTTTTGTAAACCTTCTGGTATTTAAAAAAAATGCATTTCCATAAACAAATAAACTTTAACCAGTAATATTTTATCTCCATATTAACATTATCATGTAAGTTTATTTATTTAATTAAACTTTAACATTATTTATCCATTTTTAAAAATAACCTGACTTCCATCAATTCCTTTTTGGCTCTCTATATCACCTAAGTTTTAACTCTAACAAAATACAGTATGGAATTGTGAATTTGCTGTTAGGTTTCAAATGTTTGTCCACCATTAAAAGAATCAAAATCAAATAATACTTACAAATTTAAATTTTACCAAATATTTCTTTATGCTGCTTTAGGGTACATTTTAGCACTGCACGGCAACAGCATTCTGGGTAATTCCCCCTTAATCTCAAGAAAATAGGTGTCCCCAAAAAATCAGTATTCCAAATTCTGTTAAAATCTTGTCTGCCATGTCTTTAAAGACAGAGTAATTTTGATGCCTTAGGATCTACTTGTCTTTGCAAAGAGCTAAAAGATAATTTATTGTTGTTCAATCCAAGTCAACATTTTTTTGTAAGTGTGGTTCATGGCCAAGTAGGTATTTAAGTGCTGTTGGCAGAAAGTAACTGTCAGTTTTTGCGGGAGATGATGATGAGGTTAAATTCAACAACGTCATACATGAGTTGTGGTCATGGTTCAATGAATCCATGTAGAATAAAGCTTCTTGTGCTTGAAAGAAAATTTATTATTAATTTTCGAAGAAGTCATCAATTGGCTATCCTAATTCCAAGTCATATAAATTTTGATGTATCTAAAATGCTTAAGTTCATTTTTATTCGTTAACCATGTTATTGACTATAAAGTTGAATAATGAGAAAATATGTATATTAACACATGATTCTTTTCTGCGACATGATCTTGTGTTTATGGGTTTTTCTTCTTTTGAAATCTGTTGTCATTTGTGAGGTTTCACCACAAAATGCATCCTTGGTTGGAAAGTCAAAAAATATAGCAAATGGTAAAACTCATTGACTACTACAGTTTAAGCTTTAATTTGGTCTTTGACGTTTTGATATATGAAAACCAGTTATGAGAAAACCAGCTTCATTAAAGTTAACCAACAATTTAAATTTGGAGGCTTGGCCTGTGCGGACTGACAGAATGTTTAGATTTGCCGGCAGTGACGATGAAACATAAGTGTTTGTCGTATAATAATAAATAATAATAATAATCAATAGTTACAGTATGTAGCATGTAACCTTATTTGACTACTGTAAGGTTTATGTTCATCTTAACACACATTTTAAAGAATATTCAATTAATCACGATCAATTTATCTTTTTCTACCTTTAACAGAATGTCTTTCAACGTTTTACCTTGATGGAGCAGGTCCACTTTTAACTTTGGCTGTTTTTTCAGATACAAGGTAATAAGCCTCTGTAACACATTTGTTTCACTGGATTAACAAATAATGTTGAAGAAATATAAACCATTCATTTTTTAGGAGCCGCTCATGCGAAAACACTTTAATTTCTGTCTACCTATTCATAACATAAATGAACAGTAGTAATATTTTGGATCGATCCTCTTGGCGAAATTTTAATTGCTACTAGAAAAATTCAAAAGTGCAGCCATATTTGCATGCCAATATAATAATATTTTTTATTCAGAGTAACCGGTAATCATCTTTTTTTTTTGTGACTTTTATAAAACATTTGGAATTACCTGACCAAGTAAACAGGGCTAATTTAGAAAATTTTTACAATTTATTGAAAAATGCAATTCAATTAATTACAATCGTACCATAGGTATATTTAAAGAAAATATTGATTTGACTGTGCTAGTGCTTTTTTGCAGATATATAAATATATATAAAAACCATTATGCTCACAATGATATAAGGATATGCCTCCAGGGTATATCGACTTACAATATTTAAAAATAAATCATACTATATCAGCTTAATTTTGGTGTTTAAATGATGAGTAGATGTGATGAATCTTATATTAATACTTTATGATTGACATTCAAATAAATACTAAATTCCATGAATAAATTGATTTTGACCAAGGAGGTATGAAATATTTAATACCTCCATGCTCTGATCTAATCTTGAGATTATCTGAATGATGCATCTCATTTCATGAAGAGAATTTGCATTATGTGTTACGTGGCATAGCGTAGCATATACAGTAACTCACTCAAATGATATCTTTAAAGAATAGCCAGAGAGTGTGCTCTGAAATGTGTAGATCCTTTAGGTATTTAGTTCAGTACTATCACCTGCTCTTCTTGTATTTTAACCAGAAGGCTGAAATGCTAAAGGTACTACAGCTCATCATCTATGGGAAGTGTCTTTTAATTTAAATGTGAATACCTTTTGTGCTCCAAGGCTTGTGTGCACACGTATTGACTTGCAATATACAGATCAAATCACCACTACAAATACATTATACTCTATAGGAATACAATGATAATACCACAACTAAATCTCTCTGAACTGTCCATTTTTTACTGTTGTTTATGTCTGATGTTTGTTTGACATTGTCTCATTGCCCGACGCCAATTGTTAATTATTTATTGTTTTGATTGAACTTTGTATTCTTGGCAAAAGGCATATAATTTTACGATTTAAAAAAAAAAATGTAATAATAATAATGACTTTTTCATTATTTTGTTATAATTTACAAGAAAAAAATTAATCTTCTTTTACAGCGTTTGTGTAGGAAGCTTCAATACTGGTATTCATGTTCTCTCTTTTGGCGCGGATGGTGAAAATGGCAAAGCTCATCTAAAGAAAATTGCACAGTACTAATAACCATTGAAGTAGTATAGTTGAGTCATTTATATATTTGCATGCAGCTGACAAGAGTCAAGTGATCCTGTACAGGAGAGTACATGATAGAAAATGTCAATATGATGAATTCCATTTTTGCGTCTACTGCCTACTTGCGGGCGATCAAGGTGGATGAAGATAGAAATGAATAGTTTGCTTTTTCGCGAGGTTGAAGACTAGCTAGCTAGCAGGCTCTGTTTAGTAAGCCTATGAAAATGATGCTGCCTAGGCCTGTCCTAAAAAGGACAAAAATGATATGTAATTAGGCCTGCTGCTGCTGACTTGTGAGTTAAAAGTAGCTCAAAAAGACTTATCAAGCAGTAGACACAACGCTCCTACTGGGAGCCTATTTTTATTGTCTCCCAGCACAACAATCTGCTGAAAGCTTTGTGCGTGCCATACCAAATTTAATGGGCGTCCCATACTCAATTTCTTTTTTTCGTCTCTAAATTAACTTGTTCGTTGGTGGCACTGTCCACAATGAGAATAAAAATAATAATAAGGGACCTGTGTCAAGTCTACATATAAGTTGACTCTGAATGTTTTGTAATAGGCCTGACTGACCAAAAATCTCAAAATAATCTAAGATTGGATTTATTTTTTACCATCAAGAGCCCAAAAAGCTTAGTGGCCGGTGTAAACATATCGATGTGTCCACACTAAGTGGTTTGAAAGTCGGCTCCAAGAGAATTTAAACAGAAGTTTAGCTGCTGATTTGTTAAACAGCCAACTAACAAAACTGAACAAAAATGACATGTTATCTTACCGAATACTACGCAAGTTCCCAAATATTTGCGAAAAAAATTCACAAGTGATTCAGATGAGAATCGAACCCACGACCTCCAGATAATTATCCTGGTTCCATAATCACTTTTTACAGACCTAGGAATCAATCATTGACCTTTCCTTGGTCTGGAGCAACCCTGGCTCCAAAGTTCAAGCAGGGGGATGCCATAGGATATTTATTTTTAGTACCATAACATTTTGAAATAATGCTCACCTATCAACTTTAGAACAACACTAATAAAAAAAACCCATTAATATTGAACGCTAATAATAAAAATATTATTATTGAACATTTTAATGCTAACATATCTTTATTTTTATAGAGGGTAACTCTGACTACAATGTTGACTCAAACTAAAGGCCTCTAGAGTTTGTAAATTTTGTGCTATTGTATTGAAACAATAAACATGAAAACAATTAAATTTTTTATAAGAAAAGAATCAAATGATACCAAATTGCTTTAAGATAGCATTTATGGTTTGAATATATTTATGATACAGATATTTATGGTTATTTCAACACGTCTTCAAATATGTTTTGAGTTTTCAGCATATACTGTAATGGGTCTATTTTTTACAGTTACCTTCACTTAATCATATCTAGATAGCTACTGCAGTATGTGCCATTTAATGCTATTGAGTCTGTCTTACTCTGTTTTGGAACTATGTTCCTCTTCTCAAGATTTGTTTGTATTGATGAAATATTTGTATATATTGTTGTTGTCATTTTAGATATTGAAGTTTTTATACTTAGGTTATAGTACTCTATTTTAAAAATGTTGTTCTTAATTATTTAATTTTTCTTAATTATGTTCATTTCATGTTAGTTCATTTTGGGGACTCCTATGGAAATTGTCTTTTTTGCATAGTTACCAACTGATGGTCCTGCATTTCACAATGATTTTGGATGAAACGCATTTTGCATTTTGTCATGCATTCAGCACAAGTCTATGCATGATAACAAATTATCACAAATTCAGGGGAAAATGTATTTAAAATTATAAGAAATTGGTTTTATTAAAAATATTTAAATACTAATTAAAAAACAGTCATGCAGTAGCTTGAGTCATTAGAGAGCTTTCGTTATCTCATTTGAGAATCAAATTCACGGTGAAAATTTCTCTCTCCCGACCAAAACAACCCAGCCAACCATGCACTTTAGTAGAATCTAGTAGTCGCTGCCATCTTGTGCGTTCATTGTCACAACCAACTGTTGATTATGAGACTAAAACCAGGGCCCCCCCTCCCAACTGGTGTAGTCAGGCATTTCAAATTTCTCAGGTTGGTAACTATGTTTTTGTAGTTGTAGGGTTATCCCTAATATGCTCTTTTGTGATTTAGTCTCTTCATGTTGATTTGTTTCTGTTTTGTACTTTAAAGAGCATATTGATTAAATCAAATCATATAAAAAAAAAAATCATCATGTGCTATTCTCTAGTTCTGTGGCTAGGTATAGCATAATATCAAGAAATATTTGTTAATACTGCTTCTATGATGTACAAAAAAACACCTGGATACCACATAGTTTACCCAGCATGCATTGAGGGACACAGTGAATGACGCAGAGAGTTAATGACTCTTGAATCCTCTAGTGTTAATGTTGTTTATTTGAAAGATTGTATCAAGACAAAATAATAAAACCAGATTACCACTTTCCTGATATGCTGTAATTGAAAAACTCTAAAAATAGACAAAATAAAACAAAATACAGTAGAACCCCTCCCTGGTGACACCCCAATTTATAATGGGACTCATGGGCAATATTTATTAATTGATGTGTTTTTATATCTGTACGCAAGGAAGGCAAAAAAGATAGTGGTTGAACTGACGTTAAGGATAAACTAAAGTAAAAACAAATTGTCCTCATGTGGTGTTTGTGTTGTCAAATAAATGTATGCCAAAATTGTGCAATTGTATAAACTGTTGTAAAAGTTGGTGTCTTGTGTTCATTAATGTTACGGAATTTGTATTGTGATGAGTCGTACCTATTTGTATTTAAGTTTTGCTATTGTTCAAGTTACACCTTGTAGAATATCACCTCCGTGAATGAGTTCTCCTTATAAAATAAAGGTTGTATAGTATTTTGTGTATTTATCGGGTAATTTATATTTCATGAGATATATCAAAGGATGTTATGTAAGCCATCATCATGCTAATATTTTGAATTTGTATGTGTTTCTGGAAAGAATAAGGAATATATGATAACAGTTTAAGGAGGCTGTAAATATATTTATCAGATTTATTGTGAATTTATTTGTTGAAATTACAGGATCAAATACATCAACATACCTTATTGGATACATTTTTATGGATGTCTTTCTTTGTGTCTCCTTACATTATTTTTGAATTTAGTGTTATTTTGTGAATTTTTTTGTGTGTGTTACACCATATTTCTATCTATATTTGCACATAATTAACAACTTTTACATACGTCTTACCAGTTTTTTTCATCTGCTTCTACATGTACAGTACCGATCGCGGTGCCCTCGGGCTAGATTTTCTTTGGCATGCTCTATTGTACAGACCACGGGTGATGCGGGCTAACTTTACCTTTTACAATTTTTCTAATTTTGACCTATAGTATATAAAGATATCAGAAAATAATTTCTGTATATTGTATATAGTTATAGTTCATAGTTTCGTGCACTAAAAAAGTAGCAAACGACTAGGGATAATCCCCAGGGAGCAGAGGAAGTTGCACTTTGTGCTGGTTTGCCATTGTACGTTATACAGTGACCAGGGGTAATAACGCTCGCACCTTTGATCATTCTTGGAATTGGCGCATTATAAATGTTTGAGTATTATTATTATTATATAACAATAGGCTTGTCTCTACAGTATGTTCATTTTATGCATACCTACTGTATGTATTGATCTACCTGTATGTATTTTGACATATATGACGTATCAATATGATACCGGTATATATAGGTAGACCTAGTACTGTAAATTTTAATTTAATTTTATAAAATTTGTCATATAAGTTTGAAACATAGGTTAAGGAGAATGATAATTAATAATTAGATCGATTTTTCGCGTATTAGAAAGTGATACAAAGCAAGTACAAACAGAATACAAATAAATTAAAAACAATTATAAATAATAAAATTCCTAATAATGTAAATGTAATTCTATATTAGGCCTATTTTAAAATATTTGCAAACTATTAAATATTCAATAAAAATGATTCTGGTTTTCTAGCCAGAAAGTGGCCCTAACCTTGATAAAAAGATGAGCATACTGTACTGTTATTCCAAAATTATTTTACTGTTTACAGGAACGTGATGCAAGAGGTTTCGTCAACGAACTGAAATTTTTACCTCTTAATTACCATGGAAACAATAATTTCTTAATGTGTTATTAGCCGGGGATGGATTTAAATGACTTTACTTAGCAAATATATCACCTAAATTCATCTTAAATCCATGTTTTTGCATTAGTTGGATTCATCCAAACAAAAATATTGACTAAATTCCGTCTTCCATTGCACCAACGGTGGACATTAATGGATTAAATGCTAAAGTGCGTTAGGCCCCAACACCTATGTTATGATACTATCTGTGCTAGCGTTGTCCATGGCGAGGTTCATTATTTGGTAATTACTGAATTTTTTACGTATATTGCATTGACGCATGTGTCAGTGAATTAAATTTCTTATTGTTTGGCAATTGTTAAACAAAGACAATTATTAAATCCCAATCTTGGTAATTAGGTGTTTCTATGATTGTTAATTTAAATGTAGACAAAGTGAAAAAAGTCGCAACTGATTGTTGTTGATTGATTGATTTGATAAAATTGAGATTCGTGTTCAACTGAATAAAGTATGCTGTTGTTGAATAATATTGGAAACATGATTGTGTTTGTCAACATTTTATTTTTTTTTATTCTATTCATTTTGGCATAAAAATATACAACAAAGCAAAACGTACACATAGAAATGCGAGTCGAAGAGAAGCAAAAGCATAACAGTCACCGGTAAGTTACCCTTTTTTAGAATTGGTATGTGTCGTCCTTTCAGTGTAGTTTTATATATATATATATATATATATATATATATGTATATATATATGTATATATAAATGACCAAATAATTGAGTTTATCTCTGAGGTGTTGCATTCCTTATACAAAAAAGAATCACGTCGACCTGATATGTGTGCACATCGAATACTAGTTTTATCGTAGTGTAGAATCAATTGCTTCAAATCGGATTCGTAACACTTGTAATTGATACTAAAATTACCCCTGCCCCGAACACTTTTTTGCCGTCGCAGCCCATTATGACACTGGGACAACTAAATGCACAATTAAAACAGACTTATTTCTAGTGTAGTGTACCTACTGTAAGATGTTAATCACATCAGTGCAACTAACTACAAAGCAAGTGATACAAGCTAGAGTCTTAGTCATTGTGATTCTATATTTCAAATTTAATTTACTCACTTTTCATGAATTAATAAAACATTGGAAAAAAAACTAATACCAGTTTTAATAGTTTTAACAATCAATAACACATTGAAATAATAATAAACAATATTTATATAGTGCCTAATGTTAACAACATTGAGGCGTTCAACAACAACATAATAAGAACTAAAAATAAAAAAGAGCAGCGATGCAGGAGATGGTGACATTGAAGGGGTCTCATCCACCAATGTCAAAGTAACGTTGCTGTCTCAGTGAGGCAATTTACACCCAGGTAATCCACAAAAGGCAGTATGCCTTACAAAATGAAGGAAATATATTAATATAATTTCCCTCATGCTTAAAATAACATCTGTCAGGAGCTAAAACAAAACCAGTTATTTTAACTTCTTACTTTGTTGTTATTATTTTTCAATTGAAAATATGAATGAAAATTAAAAAATCATTAAAAAAAATCCTTAGGATAAAACAGACAGAAGCATTTATAAAAAGTATTGGTTTGCATGGACATTTGAATTGTCCAGTAATCAATTTATTTTTGTATAGAAACATCTGTGGTGATGTAGCTTGGTGGTGCTTGCATTCCAATGCCAATGTCCTGGGTTCAAATTCTGTGACAGCACAGAATTTTTCTTACAACTAAAAAACATCTCCACTCCCAAAGCCTCATAATGATATTTTGCAAATAATTAAAGCATAACATTATTTCATTTATTTAAAACGGCTCATGAATACAAGCTGACCTTCTAGAATACGCTGGAAGGTTCACCCTCTATACGGTTAACAAACAAAAATCAGTGAAAACTGAATTAGTTCATCCTCCAAATCGAGCCCACCTTTGGGACATGGAAATGTGGGGTGGTTCTGGGATTCAGCCTCAAATTAGAGGGTTAGAATTGTGTTAAAAAAAGGTAGAATGTTAGTTATTTGAAAAAGCGATCTTGAACTTAGAAGGGTCCCAAATTGTATTTAAAGTTAATAATTTATTTTATTCTATATATTTTTCCATATTTTATTTTTTTTAAATCAAGAAAAGCAAAACAATCTGTAAATTCTTCTTGTCTTTCTAACTGAATTTTGTGTCTATATTAACTTGTCATTTCTCAAAAAGCTGAAACACTTCCAATTTAATAACAGGTTTAACATTGCATTTTTAATTACATGAAATAGAAGTAATATAAGAGAAGTGAATTTTTTTCTTTGACTATCAGAGAAATCTCTCAATTTGCAAGTATGGTAATATTGCCAATGAATCTATTCTAAATTCTCTATTCCTCTTCTATTTTTAGTCTTCACCATCAATATTGAGACCATATCAAAAGACAAATTCAGCCCTCTTGTAGTTTAATAGTGTTGCAAACGTCAATCCGACACTAGTGCAGAGGGTTTCACAAAGACATTCTAAAGCCTGCTGCTGATTAATCCCGCATTCTGGTTCAATAATCACCATCAGTGAATCTGACACTGGTGCAGAATGCAACCATTCCACAAAGACATAATCTGGCACTTAGAATTCCTAGTTCAATTGTTAATCATCACCATCTGTCTGAGACAAGTATCAGAAGTAAACTGCTTGAAAATGAGAGGTCCAAACATTATGGAACTTGTCGATTAAATCATTCATCAATCAGCCAATGCCAATGCACCTTCAGGTCTTCTGAAGCTGTATGTTTCAAGACTGGCCCGCATTTGCCCGAAGGATAGCTCCTGGGTTGGGATATGGCCTACTCTGGAATAAGGGCCCAGTTGCTGTTACATCAGCACCGGTCTTGGCATCATTTGCTGTAGGCAGACCTGTTGACCAGTCACCTCTGCAAAAGACCAAAAGATAAATCATTACAATGTATTTTCTTGAGAGCTGATGTTGGAGGTTCAAACACTCACTGTGAATTTCATTACATTGGCATAGATTTAGTATTGAATGGGTTCAAAGGTTATTAGTTTACGGCGTCTTACCGAGGAACGTCCGAGTAGGATGCAGGGTCCATTGGATCTAGCTCATCATCTCGGCCTCTCTTCTTCCGATGAGAATCTAATTTTAAAGATTAAAGAGTAATGTTATTAGAATCCAAATATAAATAATATTACCACATTTTAGTCACATTACTCCGCAACACTCACAGCTAGCCCCATTTTCAATAAAAGTACTTTAATGACTGTATGATGATGAAATGCTATGAAATATCCATTTTTTTGTTTCTTTTATATTTTGATTTAGTAATATAAAAATAAGGTACATATATTTGCACCAATGTAACAAGTTGTAAAAAGGTTGTTGCATATGAAATTATTGTTATGTACATTATAAACAAATGACTGATTGAAATTTATTCCAACTGTCACATTTCGTCAAGTTGGATTAAATGTTGATGAAAGTGTGCATAACATATTAACTACCTCTGCTTTGTTTGCTAGGCTTGTGGTACGGTGCCTGTCTTCCTTTATCTGCCTTGTCCTTGCTACTCTGGCCAGGAGCAACAGGTCCTATGCTAGGACCTATTGAGGGACCAATCTATCATAACATATAAAAAAACTTATTTAATTGAATTTGATTCAAAGATTTATTTAAAAAAATATTCCCTTAAAAAAAAAAAAAAAAAAAAAAACATAGTTACCACCGTCTCGCATCATGCGGGACCGTCCAGCATTTCAAAGCGATTTTGGATGAAACTCGCATTTTGCAGAAACATGTGCATGATCATAAATGCATTTAGCACAAGTATGGGTGATAACGAATTATCACAAATTCAGGGGAAAACGTATTGTGAAATTAGAAGAAATTAGAGATATAAAAAATTGTTCTGCAGTAACTTGAGTCATTAGAGAACTTTCTTTATCAATCAATTCACTGAGAAAATTTCTCTTTCCAACATAATATAACTAAACAATTGCCAGCTATCTCATTTCACATTGTACAAGAATCGAACAATTGATATTGACACAAATTATTGTCAACAAATACTTTCTGAAATTATTTTAAAACAGCATAAAATGTTCAGATCGTCGGAACGCCAGGTGACTTCGCCCCATTCACCCCCACCGGGTCTCCGCCCACGGATCCAGCTGGCTGGAGTAGTCACTTTCACATTTTAAATCTCGCAAGTTGGTAACTATGTAAATAACACATCAAAAACAATATACATCTTGTTTTGTATTTGAAAAATTTTGGAAAGATTAACTGAGCTTCAGGAATAAATGTGTTAATACCTGTGGTGGGTCTAACCTGTCGCTGACATCTTTCCTGCTGCTTGATGCTTTCCTATCGGAAGAATCCCATCGGGTTGATGATCCACCATCCTGTCTTCTGTGTGATTCTGTTCTGTCTTTATCTGATGGCACTTCAGAATCACCTCTTAGTTTTGATGCTGCCTCTGTTATCTTTGCTTTTGGATCTTTAAAAAAAAAATCAGGTTGAATATAGAAATTTATGAAAAAAGAAATTGTGAATGTTACGGTTTTGCAAGATCTATAATACATAATATAATCAGTTCCTGTTGCTCATGTAGATGGTAACTGAAACACTTTAATATAAGAATTCAAAATTTAGAGTTTTCAACAATATGTTACTGCAGGAGAGTCTACCTTGCCCCTGTCTCTTATACACATCTAGATGTGTATAAGAGACAGGGGTTTCACAAAGACATTCTAAAGCCTGCTGCTGATTAATTCCTCATTCTGGTTCAATAATCACCATCAGTGAATCTGACACTGGTGCAGAATGCAACCATTCCACAAAGACATAATCTGGCACTTAGAATTCCTAGTTCAATTGTTAATCATCACCATCTGTCTGAGACAAGTATCAGAAGTAAAAAAAAAAAAAAAACATAGTTACCACCGTCTCGCATCATGCGGGACCATCCAGCATTTCAAAGTGATTTTGGATGAAACTCGCATTTTGCAGAAACATGTGCGTGATCATAAATTTGTAAAGCATTTACCACAAGTATGGGTGATAACGAATTATCACAAATTCAGGGGAAAACATATTGTGAAATTAGAAGAAATTGGTTTTATTAGAGATATAAAAATGGTTCTGCAGTAACTTGAGTCATTAGAGAGCTTTCTTTATCAATCAATTCACTGAGAAAATTTCTCTTTCCAACATACTATGACTAAACAATTGCCAGCTATCTCATTTCACATTCTACAAGAATCGAACAATTGATATTGACACAAATTAGTGTCAACAAATACTTCCTGAAATCATTTTAAAACAGCATAAAATGTTCAGATCGTCGGAAACCCAGGTGACTTTGCCCCATTCACCCCCACCTAGTCTCCGCCCACGGATCCAGCTGGCTGGAGTAGTCACTTGCGCATTTTAAATCTCTCAAGTTGGTAACTATGTAAATAACACATCAAAAACAATATACATCTTGTTTTGTTAGTATTTGAAAAATTTTGGAAAGATTAACTGAGCTGCAGGAATAAATGTGTTGATACCTGTGGTGGGTCTAACCTGTCACTGACATCTTTTCTGCTGCTTGATGCTTTCCTATCGGAAGAATCCCATCGAGTTGATGATCCACCATCCTGTCTTCTGTGTGATTCTGTTCTGTCTTTATCTGATGGCACTTCAGAATCACCTCTTAGTTTTGATGCTGCCTCTGTTATCTTTGCTTTTGGATCTTTAAAAAAAAAATCAGGTTGAATATAGAAATTTATGAAAAAAGAAATTGTGAATGTTACGGTTTTGCAAGATCTATAATACATAATATAATCAGTTCCTGTTGCTCATGTAGATGGTAACTGAAACACTTTAATATAAGAATTCAAAATTTAGAGTTTTCAACCATATGTTACTGCAGGAGAGTCTACCTTGCCCCGTTAGATGCTCTGTGATGATAATCAATAGAGTTTTCAACCATATGGAAGGAGGGTTTAACTAGCCGTCTAAGATGCTGTGTATAAAAGACAGAAATTCAGTTCTGCTTTGCATACATTAAAGTTTTATCTGAAGTGTCTTACTTTGATTTTTTCACCTATAATGTATAGTATAGTATTAATAATCACTGTACATTTCAATGCAAGATTATTAGTGCACCTTACACCCATGCAGCATATGAAACCTACCCAGTGGATGTAACCAGGATACCTTATCTGTCTCAGAGTCCCAGAAGTAGTGGTAGCCCCTAGAATAGAGAAATACATTAATGAAAGATCATTCAATTCAGTAGACATCTTATTTAGTACATTGTCAGAAAATTCAGCAGAAAATTAGGAAATATAAAAAAATTATAAGTGATTTATGAGCAGAGTATATAAGTTATTTAATTATGGCACTTGGTTTGATTGGGGTGGGACAAAATCTTTGAATCTAAAAATGGTCATGCGTATTAATTAATTCAAGTTGCATTGGAGATTTTAAGGCTCTAAATATTACAATTACAGTATGTCTTAAATAAAACTGATTTAAAATTACAATTAACTGAATTACAAATACAAAATGAGTTGAGTAACAAGTGTATTACATATAATGAAATATTATGATTGCTTCTAGAGGTTAAGGAATTAAATTTCTAGTCCATAGTTTAATGGCAACTTGCAGCAGTCTGAATACTTACGATATAGGATCTTTTATCCGAAACCACCCTGGTGGTAATTTATCATTTGAGGGTTCTTTAGGTTCCTGGTGGTGGTGATGAGAAGAATCCAGGACATCTTCACCAGAATAATCTGCAGCAATTATCTCCTCATCAGGCTCTGGTAAAATATAAATAAAAATCAACCAAGTTAAAATTTAAATCGAATACAGGCTAACCCATACCCATGCCAACCCGTATCCATAAATCATCATACCCAATTTTGGTTGGCTCCTACCCATAATTTTGGGTAGCTTGTACCCATACCCATAGTTGGCTAACCCAAACACAAATGTAGTCCAAGATCTACATTTGTACAGTATTTTAAACATTATGCAAAAAGTATAGTATAATCTGTTTGGAGAGTATGTTGAACAATCACTAACTTACTATTAGAAGATTTTTATAGGAATTCATGAATATTGTCAAAACTATAATAAAGGGATGCTACTCTACAGTACTGTAGTTGTGAGTATTGTCAAAGCTGTAGATAGGCACTTAAAAAGGCAAAAAAAAAATTGTTATGTTGGCGTAACCTGGTCGACCCTAGACATTTTTATTTAAAATTTGCCATACAAATTTACTTAATTTAACATAAAAAAATAAATAATGCAAAAATTACTGGAAATACATGTTCTTTAAAAAACGAAACTTCTGAGTTGATCCATAGACAGCTTAACACTGCTGTTACCCATATGGAGGAAGGGTTACAGCCAAGGCAAATCCTGGCACCATGTTCCCCCCGCTCTTCCCCCACTAGCGCCACCCCTGATTTTGAGGCCTTTACTGATTACTGTGGTAGTTAAAAAAAATTCCTACCTACCTTACCTACCCGCACCCTATTTTTTGTTTTGGGGCCTGTAATGCCAACGTAACATTTCTTTATAGGGCCTAGGCCTAATTAATGGTTATGCTGGGCCTTGGCCCTATGCTGCTAGGCCTATTAGTTTGACGCAATTCGTGTATATCAAAAATTGATAGTCTTGTTGTACAGTACCTAGGCCTAGGCTAGTAAGAAACATTTAAGTAAATACCCCAAATGGCAAAGTAAAGGTACGAATAAACGTCGGTACCACTTTTTTGGGCACAAGTTCACCTACAGTAAATTTGGGTACTGGTTCACCAAGGTCCAAAGCGGATACAAGTTCACATGAGTAGGAGTAAGCCCACATCCATTAAACCTATGGATTGATTAAGAATCAAAAACTGTACTAAACTATATTGTTAGGCCTGGAACCCGTCTGTCTGTGTAACACTGTATAACCGTAGTAGGTAGCGTAGGGTTTCTCGACTGAATGCATTCAATACGGATACGGCAACTTAAGCTACCCTATTTTATTTATTTCATTTTATTTAATGCCCTACAAGACTGAACTATGACATGACTAGTACAACCATGGAGGAAAGAATTCTTTCCTCCTTGGTACAACCTAGGCCTAGATACTCCTCAAACACAGGGCCCTAGACTGGGCCTAGGCTAGACTATATTGTATTTGTAGGCATCCCTAGGCCTAATTGTATTTTAACAAATTAATTTAAATTTAGGAATAATTCAAATTCAGTTTATACTCATAACAAATACAACAATTACCTTCGCTTTGCTGATCTTGTTGAATAATACCACGCTTTTTTAAGCGAGCAGCTAAAGCTGGTGGAAGCCTCGACGCAGACATGATTGTTCGTTTGTTTTGTTCAGAGCAGGGTTGCCAGATAGTCGACAGGCTTCACGGCCAAACACACGCCATCTCACGGCCAAATTCGGCCAAACTTTTTTTCGATATCGGCCAAAATTCGGCCAGGTTTTAATCCGATTAGAAGACAACA